CTTGCCCGGCTGCCCCGAGAAATGCACTGCCTTCACGGGAGCCGCCTCCGCCCTCTGCAAACACTGCAATGACAAGCCTTGACTTCTGGCTTCTTTGGGCTTTTTTTGGGGGGGTTTATTTTATTTATTTTTTTTCTGTGCACTTTTCTTTCCACTATCATCAGCCCTGCCTTCCTACCATCAGTTAAGTCTGGGTTTTTTTCTTTTTGTTTGCTTCTCTTAAATACTTCCCTTCCCACATCCCGTTTTGGAAATATTTGGCAGTTTACATGGACCCCAAAACCACCCGCTTTCAACTTTGTTTAGTTAACCCCCACATGCAACTTCATCTGTAGAGTTATTTCCTTCCCAGCCTGTTAGGGGACTGTGAGTGTAACATAGCTTCTCTGCTATGTTTGATTCATGAAGTTTTTGAGCAGTTTTTAAGCTAAACTGTAGCAAAATAGGGAGGGAGAGCTATCTGGAAATGGAAAAACCTCAGTGAGTTTTCATTGGCATGATCAACTTGTCTTAAAAATAGCTTAAAAGAAGGGGTAGAAAGCAAAATCCAGCTGCAGAACTATGCAATGTTTCAGAATGGTGGCAGGGGGTGTCTTATGTAGCCAGCTGGGGTTGGACTGCACCTGCAAATCCCAATGAAAATGTCATTTGGTCAGCTCATGGAGGGGGGAAGTTTGGTGCTCTTCATAAAACAATAGATGTTTCAAAACAAGATGCTTTTTTGCTCAAAAAAAAAAAAAAAAAAAAAAAAAAAAAAGGAGAAATTAACCTGTTCTTGAACTGAGATGAGCCTGTGATTGTATGCTGATGCTTGCTTTTTGCCTGTTTCTCAGCTTGGTTGAGTCTTCCAGATGATTTTTCTAAAGTCATTACTCATCATGGTAAACAAAACAAAAGGTCACTTAACATATTTATATGTGTTTATAATAAATAAAAGACATGAATAACCACTTTCTCTGTCCTACATGTCTCTCAAACCAGCTGGCAGTCACAGCAAAGCCCCCGCTGAAGTAAGGTAAAGCAGAGATGCATGTGGCAGTCTTCAGCAGAGGAGCAGGGTTGTGAAATTAGGTGAATGATTGGAATACTTGGAAAAAGCTTGTGGACATTTGGCTCCTTATCTGCAGAGATTTGTGTTTTCTCCAGTTTCTCATGAATCATGAGCACACACACAAAAAAATGTTTAAAGTTAAGTAGGTAAAAATTTAGCTTGTGTATTTTGGCCCTTGCTGGAGGATGCTGTGCCCTGAAAGTGGTGTTTGAAAGGGGTTATCGTAGGATCCAGCTTAGCTCCGAGGACACCCATGGAAAACATGGCAGGGAAGGAAATCGCTTAAAGACTCTGCTTATCCCTTTGGCTTGGTTTTCTGTTATATCTGCAGCTTGACCCTAGACCTGTGTGGGGTTTGGGCCATTTAATATCACAGCTGAACTAATAATATCTCACCAAGTACCGACTGTGTTAGTACAAGTTACAAAGTGAGTCCCTCGCTGGCTGAGATTTTGGTGTTGCTTGTGTTGGTTTACTTTGGTTTTCTGGTTTATGATGTTTAATGCTTTGGTGCCTTGTATGCTTCACTAGTCATTATATAATAATAATAATAATTGAGGTGCATTCAGTGGTTTCTCTTCAGATTGGAATTACCCACCCGATGTCAGAGCAACCGCATAAACTGGTACAGTCGCAGCCCGAGGGGCTCGAGCTGTCCGTGGCCATTTGTGTTAGGAGTGGGGTGTAACTATTTAGGGTTATTAAACCAATTTCCATGCCTGTCGCTAGTCTTATGCTAATTTGAAAAGGACTGCCATCCCTCTAAAGCCGCTTGTCTATGGCACTTAATTTTAATTAATACATTTCCAAAAGACTTTTTGTGTTTGGAAAGCGAAGTGTGTGATTAAGCCTCATTCATAAAGACAAATGTTTAAAAGTGGTTCCTGCTCATTTCCATTTTTTTATCTTTATTTCTTCTTTTTTTTACAGCAGTTTTACAGTCCAGTTTGTCCATTGTACCTTTTTCCATAGGAGAAAATCTTGAAAATGCTCTTTAAAGGCATCGGCTGAAACGAAAGCCGACCCAAACCACTACTGAAGCAAAAATGTCTGGAAACTGCAAATCAGCAAAGGTCATTTAAAATTTTGCAGACTGAGTTGTTGCTAGATAATATTTTGAAAAAGGGGTCAGTTTAATATAGAATCATGATTTTTAGGTAAATGTTTATTACTTCTGGTTAAAATTATAGAAGAGTAGCTGGGAATATTTAAATGGAGTTTAGTTTAATTGTTCATTTTTCACCAAAACTGAAATAGTTGGAGAATAAAGTATTTAACAGATGAATATTAAATATGAGTTTGGTTTGGTAGAAGAATTACACTAATAATAATGGAATTTATAATTGCTTCATTCTCAAATAATTACAGCCAAAAAAATTGGCTCACTAATTTCAGAACCTAAAAAAAGTCTTCATAGTCTTAGAGACAAGCTATTTTTGGAACAATGTTTTTTAGTATAGTGATTGTTTAATTCTTTTCCTGTAATTTACATGAGTAAAAAGCCTGCTCATATTACTGTATCTACCTAGAATCCTAAAAATCCACCTTCTGAGAGTCCTTGAGTTATTCAGGAGGCTCTGTGAGAGCTGACTTTGAATTAAATGATCTCAGGAGGCTAAACATGGAATTTCAAACACAGAGGATAAAACCTGCATTAAAGAAAACTGATAGAAAAAATAGCAAGCTTGAGTATCTGAGTACTGTTAAAATGGTAGGTATTAAAAACAGAAATGTAGAACTTATCAAAGCAATACTAGAGGAGCCTGTAAATCGTTATTAAGATTGACGTTGAAGTACAGGTTTTTTCATTCAGAAGTAAAAAGTCCAGTCATAACTTTTCCTGCAACAAACAAATTAATATTAAACTGGAACAGAGTTGACTAACTTCTCAGTTAATCAGAAAGTTCAGTCGTGAGACTTGCAGGATCTCAGCTCTTGTTGTTCAGAGCTGAAACC